AGAGCGCACATGAAAAAAGGGAGGGTGGTTTTTGGGAACACGGGGACTGATATTAAATTGAGGGGATTGCGGCTATTCCAGGAAGAAGGAGGATGCCTGGTGTGTGGGTGAAATAGTGGAGGTCCAGGGTTTGGGGAGATATCCTCAGAGGTTAGGAGAAGAATTATGGTTTTGTTTTTTGCTTCTTTCTTTGATAGTACGCAGGCTGGCAATGTCCTAGCTAACAATGACACGGGCACAGACAGTGGGAAGAGTCTAATCATAAACTCTGAGAGACTAGTTCCCCATCACCTCTCTCTGGCATTGATGAAAGCGGATGGCAGTGAGCTGATTCCTTAGCCGCTATTCAGACCTGATAGGAATCTAGTCTTAGAGTTCCTCATCAGGGTTCACCCACCCCACAGCAAAATTCCTTGGCTGCTGCAGCTGTCTGTGTGACAGGCGTTGTGGCCTAACAGGGAGCAATGCTGTTCCTGTGATTTTGTTTATTTCTCTACAGCAAGCATCACGATTTGTGGTGTGGAGGTGCGATGGAATTCTAAAGATTTTTTTTTTTTTTTAGTTTTGAATAGAGAGAGGAAGAGTTAATAACTACTGCCAAGTTTTTCTGCTGTCTGCGGCTCCATTGTGGAGAGGCCCACCAGTGACAATGTTTTGAGTATAAATCTATAACAGGAATAAAGGGTCTTTGTTCCCATTTTCCCTCACTGTCTTGATCACAACCTAGTCTCATGGACAAAAAATAAGGGGAAAAATTCAGGCCTCAGAAACTAGTAACACCCTGAAAGAGGATCTAATCCTTCCTCTTCCATCTAAAGCTAAATTTATGCCGGACATTACAGAATACAAAAAGACTGTCTTTTTTATCTGCCTGTAATTGTACGTTATTGATTTATAGACTTCTCTTTTTTTTTACTATGTTTATTTATTTAAGAAAGAAATCCAACCTTTTGGATAATCATTCTTTTTTTCTGCAATGATAAATGTCTCCATATGTGCCACTCTTTTGCAGTGTTGCATATTAATATCTTTACCTATATAAACTTTACAGTTTATATTAGCTGTATAAATTTCAAAGTTGCAGTATGGCTTAAAAATGTTCATTGTTTGTTGTATAGTCATAGTGCTCCGAGGAGACTGGACGTTGGCTGAATGTAAATTGTGTGCCCCAGGCTCCCTCACCGATCTGTTCCTCACTGTTCTCTATATGCGCCGTCCTAGTTTCATTGACAAGTCAGCCTGCATTAATGTTGTTTTGTTCCAATGATTAGATTTTGCAAGGAAACTTTTCCGACTATAGGAGGAAATGTCAGTTTGTGGGCTAATGTTGCTAGACCCTTTACTTTAAATGTACTTGGAAACATCTTCATTTGTATTACAGTATGTACATCAGAGCCTCCAACGTGCTTCCAAGATGGGCAATATTTTTCAGCTAACTTTAGAACAGGAAGTGATGGGAAATCTATACAACAGGAATAGAGACAAAAAGAGAAACACTTGTTTAAAAAAGTGAAGAATGGTTAGAAATTCTGGCGGGGGTTTATACAACTCCCCTATTTTTTATATGGTTTCACAGGGACATGAAGTTATTGAATATATTCCCACTGGGGTCACAGGCAATCTTCCCAATCTCCAAAGTTGGAAAATAATTTTTGTTTGGAATCAGTATTTAATGTGGGTGGCCTGATATTTGCTAGCAATCATTTCTAGGGACACTTTTTTTGTTGTCCATCCAGGAAACCCTTGTAAGTTGTGCATGTACTTTAATCATGGGCAGAGAACTAATTTAGAATCTTAGTTCTATAGTGTTAGAACCTATTGTGATTGCTTATGGGTTGTATATCAGCTATCACAACAGATGGCACAAATCCTGTACAATAAAACTAGTTTAGGCTCTCTCTCAGCTTAATATAACATACAAAATAGGCTATACAGTGCAGGGAACAGGAGTATAATGTACAGCATAGAATATACATTGTAGGTGTCAAGGGTATAAAGTACAGCATAATGAAAGCAGTGCAGGGGTCAGGATTATAATGTACAACATTGTAAATGCAATGCAGGGGTCAGGAATTTGAAGGGTACAGAGCTGTGTGCAATGCAGTGGTTAGCAATATTGGTCCACTTACTACTGGTAAGTGAGAGAAAATATGCTCCAAAGATGGTTTTAAAAAGTAGAGTAATAAACCCCTCACATCTATTCTAAAATGGTTGGTTTATTTTTGCCTCCCCCCACACAGAACCCCCAGGTGCCTGGGTATCCATGTTGGTGAGCAGTATCCTACCTCTCTCTCTCTGACCAGCTCTTTCACTGCTTCCTCTGCTCAAGTGAGAGACCAGGGCATAGCTCTCCACCTAAGGAGCTAATAATCTAAATGATAGAGAGCTTGAAGTAAAATAGAAAGTGAACATGCTGAAAAATGGCAGCTGCAATGTTCACCAGAAGGGGGGAAATGCCAAAAATCCCCAGAAAATGTTCTATTAGTATATGTGCTGGAGGTACAGCTCTCACCAGTGGTGTGATGAAGAGAGAAAGAAAAAAGGTATTGTCCTGAAGTTGATAAAATGTAAACAGTCTGCCCTGATGTAATCAAAATCTGTAATGTGTCTTTCTTTGAACAAATAAATGAGCTGTACCAGGGGCGGACTGACCATTTGAGCACTCGGGCAGTGCCCGAGGGGCCCGGGCTCAGTAGGGGGCCCCATGAGATGCCCCTGGTACCTTTTCATTGGCTTTTTCATAAGCTTTTTTGGGTTTGGGTGAGGACACAGGGGCCCCATGATCCCCTATTGCCGGGGGCCCCATGAGTTGTCAGTCCGCCCCTGAGCTGTACCTGTGGGAGGTAGCAAAGGTGATCCTGACAGTGTTGACTGGAGTTCCTGGCAGCTTCACTTTGGCCGGTAAATGAGTTCCTTGCAAGACAAATCTGGCATTAAGGGCAAGTCATTTTCTACAGTAATATTTGAATGACTCGTTCGTGTACAAACCCTGTGTCTATGTACATATGAATAAGCTGTGATCACAGTGTAACGGGCAGAATTAGTGGCAGCCAGATGCCTTCAGAGACAGCTGTTTTTATTTGCAGCTTTCAGCACATATACTGAATGTGTCCTAAAGGATAAGTTCATTTATTTCATAACATGTTACATGTTACACCCATATTCAGGTAGCTGTCAAATAAAAAAAATAAAAGTGGTTGTGTGGGGCTTCACCCGCCTGGCCTCGTCACTCATTCACTGTGTTCTGTGAATGAGAAAATACAAGTCACAATAGCCTCAGTGGCTGTATGCTTGTAGTTCTCAATGTACTACCACGGTGCTGTGAAGCGCTGTAGTAGTTCATTGAGTCTTCCTGTCAGTATATCTGCATTCCCATACATCCCGTATGGGCAAGCAGATACACTGACAGGCAGAGGCATAACTAGAAACTTCAGGGCTCGGTGCAAGAAACCATAAAGGGCCCCCTGACCCCCTCCCAGGGCCCTGTGCATCAGTCCTAGGGACTTTTACTCCCATCATATGATAAAACAAAAGAGAAGAAATGTCGTCAAGGAGACACCAGCTCAGGCTACCCTGTTTTAGAAATGTAAAAAAGTTTATTATTACATATTGGGGGATCAACTGGATGGATGGATAGCTCAGCTGCACTCTGAGTGATATGCGGCAGGTAAGCTCACAGTGTGTAGACAATACTATGAAAATGTCTCAACTGCTCTCCTGTAGTTGTATAGCTGAAAGGCTCACTGTAAATGCTCTAAGCTGGATGGATGGCTGGACTGCAGTTCTTCTGTACACAATGAAAAGAAAACTCACCCTATCTTCCCCCCTTCCGGGGACTTGTTGACATGTAAAGAGCTGTAACCTGATGCTGCTGATGGAACTGGGAGCCCACACACAATGTGTGCATCCAGGACAGTATGAACTCACTGTAGATCACCGTGTGCTGCTAAACAGGCAGCCAACACACAAGCGGAGTGAGCTTTGCAGATACAGATCAGTGGATTAATGTCCATGCGGATCCTCCATGTCTTCACCCCACCCCACCAGGTATATTACACCGATGAAGGATCCAAAATGCTAAATGAGAGTCTCCTGTGTGAAGCAGCTGATCCCCGTGAGATGCAAGCTGTCAGAACTCTAAAAACAGTCTGCTGCAATAAGTTTCTGTAGCTCTGTAGAGTGCCAAGCTTTTTGCGATCTTGGGCCCCCCCCAAAGTGGTGGAACTCCAGGGCCCGGTCGCAAGTGCGACATTTGCAACCCTGGTAGTTCCGCTTTTGCTGATAGGTCTGCAGGAGACCTGCATGGCACCAGCTATCTGATCACTAGTGCAATGCTTTCCAGGCTCCTGCAACAAAAAATAATAAATGCTTGTTTTTTTACCTGCAAAATAATGTGCATTTTTAAATTTTTGTATAAAGGTGAACTTATCCGTTAAAGCGGTTCTAAAGCCTAGAGGTTTTTTACCCTAATGCATTCTACGACAAGAGAGCCTCTGCGAAAGGCTTGTGCAAATCGCTGGATCAAAATCGGGCTCCGGTAATTATTTAGGGGCATTGAGCTGCTCGAGAAGATATTTTTTTTACCTTAATGCATAGAATACTTTAAGGTAAAAACCCTTCTGCCTTTAGAACCACTTTAAGCCTTATTATTAGTAGCAACAATATTATAATTATCTATTGATTTATTTGTTATACATAAATCCTCATCTATTACTTTTTGCCAACATTATTACCTTCTGATATATTTTTATTTTACAAAGTCTAAGAATGAGCAGACGTCTTTGTAAAATAGTTTCTTTCTTCATTGCAAAAACTCCATAACAGTACATTTGTTATAAATACTGCAAACAGACAACCATTCACATTTGTGAAATTCACTGCTCAGTTCCAGGGTAAGCTTCTGACTGATGTGTTATGACCAAAACCATATGTGTTACTGCGTATTGTTATAGTCTACCTCACTGGCATTCATTGTTGTTTTGATCATCTCTTTATCACAGGCCTTTGTTTATTGCTGCTGTCCAGCGATATCAGGAATTCATCAGCAATCTCCAGATTCAGGTTACAAATTACTGTGTCAACGTTTGCGCTACAAGCCTTCTTCAGGATGCAGAGAGCCACCACTGGGATGACAACAAAGCTTTTTATGAGGTGCGATTGTAAGGACAACACACTGGTATATTTCAGTGGCTGACACGATAGGAAATTCAAACCATAAGCTCTCCTACATACCTTTTCCCAGTAGAGGCATATGTACTGAAACTAGAATTCAGCCGAGAAAAATCCTGTTAAAGTAACACTCTTTATGTACAAACTCTATAAATGCTTAACCAAAAAAGACAATTTCAAGTGGAAAATTATTATCATAAATTAAACAGTGTCCTATTAGAGATATTGATACATAGATTTTTTTTTTGTATTATTATATATACTATATTGACAAAAGTATTGGGACACCCCTCCAAATTATTGGATTCAGGTGTTCCAATCACCTCAATGGTCACAGGTGTATAAAATCAAGCACCTAGGTGTGCTGACTGCTTCTACAGACATTTGTATAAGGATGGGTCGCTCTCAGGAGCTCAGTGAATTCAAGCGTGGTACTGTGATAGGGTGCCACCTGTGCAATAAGTCCATCCGTGAAATTTCCTTGCTACTAAATATTCCACAGTCAACTGTTAGTGGAATTATAACAAAGTGGAAGCAACTGGGAACAACAGTAACTCAGCCAGGAAGTAGTAGGCCACGTAAAATGACAGAGCGGGGTCAGCGCATGCTGAAGCGCACAGTGCGCAGAAGTCACCAACTATCTGCAGAGTCAATAGCTAAAGACCTCCAAACTTCATGTGACCTTCAGATTAGCACAACAACAGTGCGTTGAGAGCTTCATGGAATGGGTTTCCATGGCCGAGCAGCTGCATCCAAGCCTTTTATCACCAAGTGCAATGCAAAACGTCGGATGCAGTGGTGCTCTTTGGAGTGACAAATCATGCTCCTCTGTCTGGCAGTCCGATGGACGTGTCTGGGTTTTTCGGTACTTGCCTGAATGCATTGTGCAAAGTGTAAAGTTTGGCAGGGGGGGTAGAATTATGGTGGACACATTCCTAAACATTGTGGACAGCCTTCCCAGAAGAGTTGAACCTTGTATAGCTGCAAAGGGTGGGCCAACTCAATATTGAACCCTACGGACTAAGACTTGGATGCCATTAAAGTTTGTGTGTGTGTGTGTGTAAAGGCAGGTGTCCCAATACCTTTGGCAATACAGTGTATGTTTAAAAGTTATAAGTGTACTGGGTACCCTCCTTATATGAATGGCTTCTTATTTGGCCATGCCCAGTTTTGCATTTTGTCCCTTCCTTCATGTGTAGGGTAAACTGACAGCCACCTATGCCTTTACGTACACTGTGAAATACTGTATATCCTCAGTGGTGATTTTCCTGTCATAGTAGGACTTTTAAACTATGTGAAGTAAAATTAACTTTTATACTGTTAACTTTTATACTGTTATGCCATAGCTGTTCATGAGCAATGTCATGCCTACAATTTTGGGTTAAGGATAACTATGCTGACATATTTGTCATAGTTATGTTTGCAGCCCTGATGTGAACACTCAGTGCCCTGAAGCTCCCCTACTAAACTCCCAGCCTCAGTCCTCTCATTGCTGATGCCTCTCAACATTTGGTAGACTGCCCTGTTACTTCCACTAAGAAATCTTTCCTATACAAAAGACTGCAACACATGTAGGGAGTGTAGAAAAGCACCTTCATGGTGCTGTAGATATACACTTACCCATCACTTAATTAGGTACACCTGTTCAATTGCTTGGTAACACAAATTGCTAATCAGCCAATCACATGGCAGCAACTCAATGCATTTAGGCATCTAGATATGGTGAAGACAACTTGCTGAAGTTCAAACCGAACATCAGAATGCGGAAGAAAGGGGATTTAAGTGACTTTGAATGTGGTATGGTTGTTGGTGCCCAACAGGCTAGTCTGAGTATTTCAAAAACTGCTGATATACAGGGATTTTCATGAACAACCATCTCTAGGGTGTACAGAGAATGGTCCGAAAAAGCGAAAATATCCAGTGAGCAGCAGTTGTATGGATGAAAATACCTTGTTGATTTCATAGGTCAGAAGAGAATGGGCAGACTGGTTGCTGCGACATCCAGATGGTAGGATCAGAATTTGGCTTAAACATCATGAAAGCATGGATCCATCCTGCCTTGTATCAATGGTTAAGGTTGGTGGTGGTGGTGTAATGGTGTGAGGGATATTTTTTGGCACTAACAAGGTATACCTAAAAAAAAAAGTGGCCATTGAGTGTATATCAGAAAAACCCCAGATTCGTGTTGTTTTTAAAAAAAAATTAAAAAGACTTTATTAATGTTTCAGAAAGAAACTTCTCTTGTCACCCACAGCAATGAACCTTTTTTTTCTCCCACACAACACTACCACCAAAAGGTATCCCTACCTTGACTTAGTGGTTGGACATGGTCAAATGATTTTGGGAGCTATACTATCAGTAGCACAGCTGTCAATAGTGAAACTCTTGCCAGAAGGGCCTTTGGTGGCAACCAAGACATAAAGAGACATAATGGTCATCCTGGTTGGGGTTGGGCATGGAAATACCCATCCTTTACCCTATCCAAAAGAATAAAGCTGTAAATAAATAGTTTTGTTTGGTATATTGGACAAAAAACACAGGTCTGCACATACAGCACTTGTCTTCAGATACTTGGTAATACAATAAAGTCCAGTACATGTAAAATAAGCTGACATATCTGTGCCAAAGTAGGAAGTATGTTTGCTTCTCAGGTGATTTATAGAATAGACCATCCGTTTGGTATTTAAGATGTGACTGAGCTTCTTCACTCAATTTTCCATATAATTGTTGAAACTTTGACTTTGTCAGCATTATAAATGATTACCACTGTAATGATAATATTTTGGAGGTTTATGAGATAAGGCCCAGATGTTTGTTTCCTGATGCACAAGCTAAGTAAAATCTCACATCTGTTTATGTTGTACTAGCGTACAGAAATGGCAGATGTTGGCAAGCGGAATGTAAGGAATAACATCAGATAGGGAAAAAAGATCAGATGCATTGGATGAATGAAGCTAGGTGGTGGATATCAAAATATATAACCTAAATGAATAACTGACTATTTTGACTGTGTGTCTTGATATTTTTATTCTGTAAATGAGGGTATATATTTAATTTTTGGAGGAGAACAAAAGTTATATAGTTACATAGTTAGTCTGGCTGAATAAAGACAAAAAGTCCATCCAGTTCAACCAAATAAAAAAAAAAAAAAGTTATAATCAAATACCCACAGTTGATCAAAAGGAAAGCAAAAAACCCAACAGAGCATGATCCAATTTGCTCCTGCAGGGAAAAAAAAATCCATCCTGATCTCCCGAGAGGCAATCGGATATTCCCTGAATCAACTTTACCTATAAATATTAGTATCCAGTTTTATTGTGTGTATCTACTATACGTGTACAGTGAAGGAAATACAAATTTGATCACTGCTGATTTTGAATGTTTGCCCACTCACAAAGAAATGATCAATCTAAAAATCGAATGGTAGGTGTACTGTAACACTGAGAGACAGAACAGCAACAAAAAATTCAAAAGAAATGCATGTCTAACAAATGATGTACTGATTTACATGTTCATGAGGGAAATAAGTATTTGATCCCCTATCATGCATTCATATGATTCATATCATTTTGTTACCTGTATAAAAGACACCTGTCCACAGGAACAATCAAACAATCAGATTCCAAACTCTCCACCATGGCAAAGACCAAAGAGCTGTCCAAGGATGTCAGGGACATGATTGTAGACCTACACAAGGCTGGACTGGGCTACCAAACCATCGCCAAGGAGCTTGGTCAGAAGGTGACAACAGTTGATGCAATCATTCGCAAATGGAAGAAACACAAAACAACCGTCAGTCTCCCTAGGTCTGGTGTACCATGCAAGATCTCACCTCATGGAGTGTCAGTGATCATGAGAACAGCGAGGAATCATCCCAGAACTACATGTGAGGATCTTGTCAATGATTTCCAGGCAGCTGGGACCACAGTCACCAAGAAAACAATTGGTAACACACTACGCCGACAAGAATTGAAATCCTGCAGTGCCCACTAGGTCCCTCTGCTCAAGAAAGCGCAAGTCCAGGCCCGTCTGAAGTTTGCCACTGAACATCTGAATGAAGCAGAGGAGGACTGGTTGAAAGTGTTGTGGTCAGATGAGACCAAAATCAAGCTCTTTGGCATCAACTCAATTCGCCGTGTTTGGAGGAGGGGGAATGCTGCCTATGACCCCAAGAACACCATCCCAACATGATGTCAAACATGGTGGTGGAAACATTCTGCTTTGGGGGTGTTTTTCTGCTAAGGGGACAGGACAACTGCACCGCATCAAAGGGACGATGGATGGGGCAATGTACCATCAAATCTTGGGTGAGAACCTTTTTCCCTCAGCCAGGGCATTGAAAATAGGTCGTGGATGGGTGTTCCAGCATGACAATGACCCAAAACACATGGCCAAGGCAACAAAAGAGTGGCTCAAGAAGAAGCACGTTAAGGTCCTGGAGTGGCCTAGCCAGTCTCCAGACCTTAATCCGATTGAAAATCTGTGGAGGGAGCTGAACGTTCGAGTTGCCAAACGTCAGCCACCAAACCTTAAAGACTTGGAGAGGATCTGCCAAGAGGAGTGGGCCAAAATCCCTCCTGAGATGTGTGCAAACCTGGTGGCCAACTACAGGAAATGTCTGACCTCTGTGATTGCTAACAAGGGATTTGCCACCATGTACTAAGTCATGTTTTGTGAAGGGGATAAAATACTTATTTCCCTCATGAACATGTAAATCAGTGCATAATTTGTTAGAAATGCATTTCTTTTGAATTTCTTGTTGCTATTCTGTCTCTTAGTGTTACAATACACCTACCATTCAATTTGTTTGACTGATCATTTCCTTGTGAGTGGGCAAACATTCAAAATCAGCAGGGGATCAAATACTTATTTCCTTCACTGTATGTATCTATGTGTAATTCACTGAGCTTGCCAAAACCAACTGTTGAGTGAGTCTATTCCACATTTTCACAGCTCTTACCATGAACAGGGGCATATTTGTC